TTTTTTCCCCCCTGTTCCATGGTTGCTTTTGCCAACAATTATGTCTTTGGATGCTTACATTTCAAACATAAATTATGATTAATAGTTCCAAGGGACTGAGGGAGAAGTGTAGGTTTTACTTAAGAATGAACTCAGGGGCATACTTGCCTAGTCTTAGATGTCTAGTGTAATTACTTTAAAATTTTTCTTTCCTTTAAGAGAAGGGTAGTCCAATGAATTTTTTTTTTGGTAGAACAGGTCCAATGTGTGGGAGGTCTGGAACCAGTGGGGTATGATTACAGAGTGAGGGACAACAAATCAAAATTTTCTGTGTATCTTCTGAGTCTTTGTCAAATCTGTTTCCTGGTTATCAATATTTACCTACCTTTTACACCTGCTTCAGTGCCATCTGCAGATCCTGATCTTTTTTCTAAGTCTCATCACCTTCTAATCTTGTTAAAGAAGTATTTTGTTTCTTTTTTCTCTTTTCTCACAAGATGTTCTTCTGTATCAATTTCTCTCTCTTCTCTCTTTCTTTCTTTTTTTCAACATGGTCTTCCCATAGGTACCAATAAGGCATTTGTTTAAGATGAGAGCTCTCTTACTGGTGACTCCGAACAAGTAGGTCTTTTTTATGCTTAACACGATTAAGCCAGGGAGGAGGGTAAAGCTCAGTGGTAGAGCATGTGCTTAGCATGCACAAGGTCCTGGGTTCAATCCCCAGTACCTCCATTAAAAATAAATAAACCTAATTATCTCCAACCACACACACACACACATACACAAAACAAATCCAAGACAATAAGCTGTTTATGGCTTAACCATGTTCACAAGAAGTGTCCTTGTGAGCCCTCTCAAGGGAGAGCCACTCTGAAGATAGCTTAAAAAGCAAAGACCTTCATTGGCACAGGTGGCAAATAAACCTCTATCTCCCACAAGTGAGACACCGTAAATCATGGACCCACTAATCTGTTACCAGGAGAGTGATACTGGGATGAGAATTTTCCCAGCAGAAGAAAGGCAAGAACGCAAAGAGATGACACAGGCCCCTTATGGTCGGTGACCCCTTATTAAGACACACTTCCCTGAGAGCTGCCATGCTTGGACAAAGTTGCCTGTCACTTCATGTCTCAGGCTCCTAGCTGGCTCAGGACATAACACAAGACAAATGGAGATTCTCATCTTATGATTTCTCATCCTTATGACAAATGACACAAAAGAGACAAAGGAAAATGTGACACTTTCTGGGAGGGTGAGAATCGACACCCATCGGCATGGATTACCAAAACCAAATTCACAAAAGTCAGGATACAAGAGCTATTTCTACAAATGTTTCCTCCTGCCATTGTGAATTTGGAGTAGAGGAGACAAGGAGAAATGTTTATCTTCCTCTTGACTGTGCACTGCACACAGAAATCTGGGAGACGATGTGCTTCAGAATTCTCACCTTCTGCGGGTCTGCTCTCAGTTACCCCATATCTCAGCTGTGGTCTCGCAGGAGAGTGGATTGTTCCAGCCTTTACTGTCCCATCCTCACCACCAGGAACTGTACAGGAGGGAAAAATAACTTTTCCTTCTACCCTTTTATGTTTTTTGTGGACTCTATAACAAAAGAGAAAAATAAACAAGTGTATTAACATGCATGTCTCATATGTACTTGGGAGAAATGCAAGGATGAGTAACTCAAAGAGGTGGCTGGAGGTCAGACATACATAGCATCTTAATCAAAGAACAATGTATTTTTATAAGAGTGACGTGACAGAGAAAAAGGGTCTTAGGCTTCAAAGGGTGGCAAATTGTAGGCAGATAAACCTGTAAGAAACCAGTGGCAGATACTAGCTGGTCAGTCCAGGCTGTTACGTCGTGTCCTCCAGGGCTGTCTCGGGGCTGACAGGCATCTGGGCTTGTTGGAGTTTGACATTTGTACAAATCTATGTTCTGCATTCGGGCAAATAGCGGGTAGACAGAGAAATTTCCTTGGATCTGCTTCTTCTCAATTGCCTTCAGTTCAAAATACTCCTTACGCTGAAGGGGTGTAGTTTTTGGTGGCATTTGGTGCTATTCATCTGTAGGTTTCATTACAAGTTTCCTTGCCTTATAAGGACCCCTTTATGTTCTAACACAGAAAGGTGAAGTAAGGCTTTGTCAACAAGGAGTTGTTAGGATTGCTGTTCCCATGAGACACATTTACAACAGTAAAACATTAATTTAGAAGTTAAAAATCTACAATAGTATCCAAAGAAGTTAGTATCGGAATCTGGCTGAGCAGCGTGCTGCTGCGCTATGTCCCTGTGGAAACAACAGGCAGGGTGTCGTGTTCTTTTGTGGAAAGTGTATTTAAGGAAATTTTAACTGAAAAAGATGAAGACCCGAGAGCAAAGGCACGTAAAACTATTTAATGAGAATGAGTGTTAATCAAAGATGGGAGCTCATTTTCAGTTGCATAAAATGTTCGTTCCATTTTGTTTTTAATTTATAGTTGCTCAAATTCATTACAAAACAGGAGGAAGTTTCTCTTTTGGCAGCAGTGCTAATTCAGATTGTTCCTGAGCAATAACTTTAAACAAGCTCATTTCATTATTTTCCGGCAGGTGATGTCTTGTGACATCAAATTATACCTCTTCAAACATAAGAAAGAAAACGTGTTAAGGCAGTTGGACCAATAAATGGTTCCTGTTTTTCCCGTATCTCAAGGGGCGGAGCTCCCGAACCCCCAGGAGTAAGGGAAGTCCTAAGGAGTTAAATACTGGGGCCGGCTCAGCCCCGGGCAGACTGCAGTCCGGGCACCTCAGTCACCATGAAGGCTCTCCTTGTGCTGGGGCTCGTCCTCCTCGCTGTGGCTGTGCAGGGCAAGGTCTGGGAGAGATGCACGCTGGCCCGAAAGCTGAAGGAACTCGGAATGGACGGCTACAGGGGAGTCAGCCTGGCCAACTGTAAGTCATCTCTTGTTCATCCTTCCAAATAGCTGGTGGGGGCGGAACGGATAGTAATGCAGGATGAATAATGAGAAAGGGACTTTGAGTGAATGGACTTTTTGAAAACTCTCTTGGAAGGTTTGTACACTTAACAATGTTTAGCAATATCACCTTGTTCCTTTGGAATCAGATGTGCCAGGTGAAGGTTTGAGGATATGGGAGGGCAAAATTCTATACCGCTCTAAGCATGCTGGGACCCATGCTTCCAGTGCCACTAAATTTGCGGGTTCAGTTCCCTCAGCGGCCCGTGTAAGGCTGGCTGAAAGGTACTTTTGGGCGCCTGGGGTGTCTCTGTCAGGCCCTTGGCATTTGACTCCAGCCATGTCTAGTTTGGAACTTGGGTTCTGCAAGCCTAGAGTAATGCAGCATTTTTCTCTTTTCTAATCATGATGTTGGGGTTTTAACAGCAAATTTTAACAATTCTGTGGAACTCTTTTTTGGGTGGGGTAATTAGGTTTATTCATTTATTTTTAATGGAGGTACTGAGGACTGAACCCACAACGTCGTGCATTGTAAGGACGCGCTATCCCACCGAGCTCTACCCTCCCCGCTGAACTAGCACAGGGGCTAGTAGGACCCAACTTCCCCTCAGTCAGTGTTTGTATGAGGATCCCTGAAATGCAGCAGGAAAGGATGTTGCATTATTCTTACTCACTCTAGTTGATTAAGTATTTTTCATTTTCTTCCACGGAATTCAAGCTGTGCCCTAAGTAAAAGTTGCTCTTTATTTCAGTCCAATTTTGTCAATGTAGTCACTGTGTTTTTCAGATTGAACTGAGACATTTCCCCTCAATAACTATTTCTGAGCAAATGAGCAGATGGCTGGTTGGATGGATGGGTGGGTGGGTGGATGGAGCAGTCTTCTCCATTATACAGCTCTTGTCTGGGGTCTAATTTGACATCCAAATTCACCTTTAGATATCATAAGAAAATTTCTTCCTCCCAGAAATTCCTTATTTTCCCCACTGAAAAGCACTTTTCCATCATCATTATATATCTACTGCTAAGCACAAATCCACTCAACAAGTCTTGATTTTTCTCTTCTAGGCTAAATCTTACCTGAGGGATGGGAGTGGGGGAAGGGTAATGGCAATGGCAAAACAGCTAGTTTCATATTTTCTAAAGTATGTTGTCTTGTTTCATTAGTATTACAAAATGATTTGATAACAAAA